AGAAGGCAGGCGCCACCGACGTCGCTTCCTGTCTCCGCCTACGGCAATCTCGGCTAGTGCCCACACTTCAAAAGCTACGGTTTATTACCTGTCCTAAGTATCCGGAGGAGCCACTTTCAATAAGCGGGATTTTGGCCGCCAAACACATCCTATTCACGTGATTTCTGGCAGCTGAAAGGGACAAAACGTATTGATCGGAAAATTGAAAAAAAAAACTTCAAAATCAAATGGATTTCAAAAATATACCTCTATTATCGAGCGCATTCATGACCAAGAAGAATTGTTGAAAGAACGTCAAGTTGAATTTTGAACTGGAAAAAAACGATGAGAAAGCAAGAAAGCATTGTGTGTAGGGGGAGAGCGGATGTTAAATAGACCTTTTCCATAGAAATTGTGGTATATCACGCCAATGATGTCACCAGAGCATTCACTCCCCCACTCCCAGCTCCTAGTTCCTTCTTTAGTAATTTTTATGCAAATATTAAAATATTTCTATGAAAATAGATAGAAATACACAGTCTACTTTTAATCAGGGCTTTCAAAGTAATTGATCAAAACTATTCCAGCCAATAGTGACAAGAGAGCCTATGCCTTCTCTGCGCGACTATACCTAGGAGACTCCAGTCGTCTGCGCTCTAGGCCTGAGACTTACTGGAAGAAAATAAACAGGCCTAGTCGGGTGGTCTTCCCCCCATGTTACCACCCAGCTAACGGCTAAGGGCTTCGCTGTTGGACCTAGCTCATTGGTAAAAGCGACCAAGGAAACGTTACGCATTGAAGGGCAGGCATGTAAGCTTAATCGCATTTGCACGCAGTCGCTTTTCTAGCTAGCTTCTTTTGTTGTTCTACGATACCTCACACAGCTGAATGACTTTTCAAGAATATGTTCCAATAGAAAGAAAGACCGAAAGCGAAACTGCGTAATTCAACCCTACCTAAAAATACTGTCGAGATCGAATGTGATTTTAATGTCTGGACGGAGCTGACGAATGGCTTCAGTGGCTACTTCAGCCTTTGATCTGCCGACATGCTCGCGACGAAAGAGAAATTGCCGATTTAGATTGCTAACATCAATGGTGTCCATATCAATCTAGAATTGTTACATATCTTGTTAGAAGAATTTAAGATTCAGAGAAAAATAAGAGAAATCAATAAGCTCCAATGTTGGTAACAGCTCCGTAAGCCTCGGTTTTGGGGAAGTGAACAGCGGCGCCGCCGAGCCCACCCCAACCGCGTTAACAAAGGAATTTGTGCTCTGTTGAGCTTTGTTCACGAATGTGACAAGGACATTCTGTGGCTCTGATGAGCTTTGTTCAGCGAACGTGAGCATTAATTTTGCGCAAGCAAGTCTTTGGCGCCGCAACTCCAGTCCCTTCTCCTCCACCTTCATCAATGCTCGAGAACAAAGACAAATTTTAGGACTCCGGAGAAATGATTCAAGATTTTGATATGAAAATTGTGATTATAAATTTTCCCAGGGGTAGTTGTTAGAACCCGAGAGCCTTAAGCTACATCATTGCACAGATTGGGCCGGCCAAGCGAGAAGAAAAAAAACCATGCTGCGCATCATTTTTTTTTTCAGAAATGTTCCTTGGAAACGAATAACGCATATAAGCCCCACACCAGCCCTGCTCTTGTGTTTGAAATGCGCTAATAGGCTCAAAAGTAATGTACTCGTGGAACACTATTACTATTAGGTCACGAATATCTTCAAGTGTATTTTAGTTAGAATCTGTATTAGGAACTATGAGACTCTAATTTTTGGCTACATAAGTGTACAACACACTGAAGTCTGCTTCGAAATGAGGCCCTGCTTCTTCACGTGGCCTACACGAATTCTACGGAAATTCAATAAATGTAGTAGAATGTGTCCAAAGCGCAAAACGAAACAACTAAACGCGCTCAAGAGCGCAAAAACTAAACAACTAAACGAAATAACGCAACAAACACTCACCACGTGAATGTCCTTATACCCGGTTAGAGCTAAATTCTTCAACAATTCACATCCTATTCCACCAGCACCAACAACAAGGAGGACACGCTTGCCCTCGAGTTTCGCAGCTTCTTTTTCTTTCCAACCCATTCTGCAACGGTATTAGTCAATACCCAACAGCTATATACATCAACGGCGGAAAGAAACACGCTGTTTACCGCAAGGTTCAAAATGGCCACAATCAACAAGGCAAAAAAAATTGAAGCAAAAAGAAAATAAAGCATATTGCAAAATAGAGAAGGAAACGCATGAAAAATCCGCAATCATGAAACATTATTTCGAATGCGATTTGCCGATCACGCGCATAGCTTCACACCGCAACTGCACAAGCAACCGAGAACTACGCGCGTTATGGAAATCATCCTTATATAATGAAGTGTTATTCGCCTAAATTCTTTCGCTAACGTAGTTGGGGGAGCGGCAACCAACTCGCGGCACAAATGTTTACCGCTTTTCCAAGGAAGCTTAGCTTAAGAGCGTCAGCTGTATCGCAGATTCGCCCAAAGTAGTCCAAAAGAAAAAAATTTTTCACTAAGTCTTGATTAGAGGAAGGGCAATTGAGGTGTTGGCTGGCCGAGTGCCTCCCCCCAACTCCCCTATTTGCATTGCTCCCAAAGAATATCCTGTCCATGGGGTAGCTTATTCATTGACGCTAACCATGATACGACAGAAAGATGTCGGAAGTGCTGCACTACTATGTGGATGTGGAAGACGGAATGTTTTCATTTCATTCACTTTTAGCTGATAGTAGAACAGACATTGGTTGCGGTCAGTACTAGGTCAGTTCTTAGTATAGCATGGTTTCTGAGCGGTCGCTTAAGATGATTACGTTGAGTTACATCGTACTTAAGGTAAGCCTCACGTATTTAAATTAGGGTCTACTTCACAGTGCCTGTCCTTTCCCCTGGGAGACGGGCAAGAGAATCGTAATTTGCCGCTCCGCCGCGCGCGGCGATGGGCGCGGCGTTTTCTTAACTCGTGTTAACCTGTCGATTGGAGCACCGGACTTCATGTAGACCCCGTCATCGTAGACATTCATGACTATTTTCGGTTCTGAATTGCCTGTTGTCGCCATCTACTACCTGGAACCATCGCCGACGTCGCACGCGACGCTCACCAGCGCGGAGAATTACGATTCTCTCGTCACATACCCCATTCCCCTAGCGTGAAGGTTAGGTTTAGAGCGCAGGCACTTAAGGTCGCCGAGGGTTACTCTTGAAAGCAATTGGCTAGGGCTGCGTTCATACTTTTCGAGAGAATCGAGGAATTACCACTTTGGCAGAATCCATGGACCCGCCGCTTTGGGAGAATACGAGCCAAAGGATAGATGGGTGTCGGTATCGGCGCCGGTCGGTAGTGTTTCGAGAGGGAATACGAGAATAATAGGGCCCAAGACGGCGGGATTATACGTCACAAAATAGCAAGGGAATCATTTTGAGGCATCGCTGCGAAGTTTGCTACATCGCGACGCCTGCTACATCGCGACGCCCAATCACAGTGTCTGGACCCTCCTACTTTCGTTTTTCTCTCATAACACGCTTCCGGCGCCGATCGATATTCATCCATCCTTCGTTGCGCGTTCTCCCGAAACGCCAAAAGCCAGTTGCGCTGACTTTTCTCCACCAAGTATGAACGCGACATAACAGAGGCGCGTGCGCAGCGCACGACAACCTCACGCTCCGCGTGTACGTGCTGAACCTTAGTGGGACGACCATAAGCCATCTCACTTTAGATAACGGTTTTATCACTAATTCACTTATGGATCTCTGTGAAATGCTCACGGCGTTCAAAGAAAAAGGCTATGTCGTCAACATCGAGTTACATCGAAGAAAACACCAAAGCTGAAGAGAAAATGGATAGGCCAATGTGGGACAAGAATTTCCCGAAGATACTTCCCCCACCGGTAAGTTTGTCCGATAGCTCCTGGTGGGAGTAGAGATGGGAACGTAAAAGTGTTCTGAGTGGCTTATGTTAGATACATCAACAGTTAGTCAGCTCCTTCGCTTACTCCTTCCTTCCCCCTACCCCTGGATTGCCTATGGATACTTTATGCTTCAGACTTCCTCCTCCCCGCCTTCCGAGTAGTAGAAGAAGCTCGGAGACCAAGGTAGTTGATGTGGTGATTGAATGCTCTTTCGTGTCTTCACCTGTAGCAAAGTACGCCGCAGACACGCAACACGCCGCACGACCAACCACACGTCTGGCCATAACCAAATGCCCCTCTCGGCTGCGGGCTCTCACGCCTAACTAAGACGTCACTGTTCTCCATAGCTCTTTGGCTGCGTACTTGGGCAGTGAAATGTCTCGGGCAGCGAACTTGTTGGCCGCAATGTGGGGAAGCACTGAGGCATGTAGCCATCGTAGCCCTTCCCGCTTCACCGTACCTTACTTGCATCTTTGACTGAGACCTGCTCACCTCGGCCATAAAAATGGCCAACGCAAGCATGACTGGGTCTTCAAACAACGTAGTTACCAAACCGGGGCTTGTTTCACCCGGGTAGCTCGGATTCGATTCGGAGACCGCTTGTGCTGTGGGAAGTGATGGAAGGCCTATTTGCATGGGTGAGACTTGAACTGGGGGTGGCGACGTGATCGTGGTCGAGCTACCTCCAAAAGGTTGACAATAAGTGTAGAACAGGATCTCCTCTACTCTTCCCACTAATGCATGGTCTCTGTGACGAACTCCGCCAAAAACCTTACCTGGATCGAATAGGCCCCCTCACGGTTTCGCCAATAGCGTTCAGACTTCGCGACGGCAGCGCTCGCGCGTTCGACGCGATCGATGCAGTCGAGAGCATGCGCATCGATCGCTCCGAACGCGCGACCGAAGCGCTGCCGTCGCGAAGTCTGAACGCTGCTTTAGAGATCATTATTCACAGGAACACGTTCCTGAGAAGGAGAACAAAGAAGTGGACGTGGAACTCGACATGCTAGTGATACCAGGCGGATCGGTGTTGGATGAACCGAAACCGAAAGCGAAAAAGGCTACTCCACGAATGGATGTACTCGATCCAAACGAGCTAATATTCGATGATCGAACTCAAGGAAGTCACGAACCGTTGAATAAATCCAAAGAAAAGCTCGCCATGGCCGTGAAGAGAAGCGCTGAAAGAATAC